AAGTAGAACTGGCAGGATGTTATGATAGACTGCTTGGATGACGAATGGGGAGACAAAAAATGTATGACTTCAGAATTTCTAGTATTGATGTCTGGCAATTAATAAATAGACATGGCTGGGCGCGGTGGCTCATGCCTGTTATCCCAGCACTTTGGGAGGCTGAGGCGGGTGGATCACAAGGTCAGGAGTTCGCGACCAGCCTGACCAACATGGTGAATCCCGTCTCTACTAAAAATACAAAAATTAGCCGGGTGTGGTGGTATGCACCTATAATCCCAGCTACTCAGGAGGCTGAGGCAGGAGAATCCCTTGAACCCAGGAGGCGGAGGTTGCAGTGAGCCAGGATCGCGCCACTGCACTCCAGCCTGGGCGACAGAGCAAGACTCCATCTCAAAAAAAATAAATAAATAAATTAACAGACAGAAGCAGAGGAAATGGTGATTAATTTAGGTTTGAATAACTGTCAGCCAGAGAAGCTTACAAGACACCCTGGAAGACAAAGTCCAATAGGCAGCTGGAAATAGGAGCATGACACTCAGAACACAGGTGGAGGCAGAAGATATTTACTTAGCAGGCAACATCATATAAGTAACGGTTGACTCCAAAGCAGATAAAATATCTCAGGAGAAAAACATAAATAAGAAGAGAGCTAAGCATGCAACTGCCTGGGATGTTATTATTTAAGGAATGGGCAGGAGAAGAGGAACCTGAGAATGGAAAAGACTAGTTCAAGAGGCAGGAGAATGCAGGGAACAGTAATGTCATGAAATCAGTCACAGGGCAAAGATGGGGGAAAAGATGAAAAACCAGTGTCAAATGTTTCAGAAGATGACTCTGGGATGAGACTAAAGAGTTTAGTATATAGAAGCTCACCGACGGCTCACTTAGATGAAAAGTCAGAGGGCCTAATTTCAGTGCACTGAAGGTCAAATGGAAGATGGTTCTGTTGAGGCAGGGGAATATGGATGTCCTTTCAGAGTCCAGGGGTCAAGATGGTGACAGATATCAGATGGTGATACTGCAGGGGACTTTCTTTTTGATTTATTTTTGTATTTGCCAATTTTCTATGATTAATGTGTATTATCTTAATAATGAAAAACAAAATGAAAAAAGCCAATTTTGAGAAGAATTTGATGTCTTGGTGTCCTCAGCCCTAAAAGTAGAAATGGTGCAGTGGGAAGATCCCTGAGTTGGGTTCCTGAACCAATTCTGCCATTCATGAGCTATATAACCTTAAGAATAACATTTAAGATGTTTCTCTGGGCCTCAGTGTCTTTACCTATAAATAAAAAAAATTCAGCTGGAAAATCACTAAGGTGCTTTCTAAATACAGAAGTCTAGGATATAGTTCATGATGTGGGAATAAGATCTCAAATGTATTAGCGAAAACTGATATTTAAAAAAACCCTATGATAAACTGTTGAGTAAAGTGAAGAATTACTTTATAATACAACTAATCACCCCAACCTATATGCTTTATACTTTCTGATTGTGTTTGCTTTTCTTAAAGTGAAGAATACCTGTATGGATTATAATATGTACTTTTTTCATTGTGCTCTTTTCATTATACCTTCTGTTTTAAAAATAAGATTCCGTTCCTACCACAGAACTTCCTCTGTACACCAATCAAGGAAGAGAACAGCATTTTGTGGGTAAGGTCTGAAGGCTGCAATTGCCAAGATTAAATATTTACTGCTTCCCTTAGAGTGCCCAAAGACATAAAGTTTTTATTGAGCAATTATCACAGGCACTAAGGAAATAATAGCATCAGACTATATTTTATATCCATACCTCCTTAAATGTGATGAGTGGCCTGGTATGGACATTTTTTTAGTTACTTCTTTTTCAGATGCTTTTAGGCAATGCACAGCAATGTAAATTAGTGGCCAAAGTCCCAGGCAGTAAAAAACATTAAGGCAGACCTAAAAAATACATATGTGGGAAGCAAGAAAGTTTAGAAATAAAAACCCTAGGGCATGAGCATTCCAAAGTACCTTAAAGGTTCATCTGGGACAATACCCTGCTGGAAGTGGGTGCTCTTCTGCCAGTGGGTATCCCACCTGTTCTTGGATGCCTCTGCGGGAAGCACTCCAGTATTTTGTGAGGCTGCTTTTTGCTGACTAGCTCTTGTTAGTTATTGGAAAGCTCTTCCGGCTACTGACCTGAAATCTGCTTTCCTAATATCCTACGCCATAGCCCTAGTGCTGTCTTCGGTATGATACCACATCAGATTATCATGCTACTGCTCATTGTTGGAATATAGATTGTCCTGGGGGAGTTTTACAGCTGAATAAAAATGTGATAGCCAATGCTGGAAATCTACCTTCCCCTTCCTAAGCACTTTTCAGGAAGGATGAGATCTCAGCTTCAGTATATTATATATATAATGAAATTAATTTGAATTCTAGTCTAAAAACTTTTATTTATATTTGGCCTAAAATGTTTTTTTCTATGGAATAGCAGATTCTTTTACTGTACAGGGTACAAACTCACTTAACTGGCCAACATTTAACCAACTTGCTGTGTTAACTGATGTTTTCTTGCCCTCTGTAAAATACCATTGCTGATGCTCACGGAAGGGAGAATGCTCAGAGCCGGACGGCTATTCTTGCAGAGGTCCACACACTTCTGCTCCTATAGGCTGCGCAGTATGCAAACCAAGACTCACCTAGGTATATACTCAAACATTCTGTGTCAGTGTATTCATTATTGTACTTACATAATTTAACATTACATCAACCAGTACAATATGAATGTGACTAGAAGAGCTGTTTCTAGGGCAAGTTAAAGCTTTAGAAAGATTCGATAAAGTTGATTTAGTAAAAGAAATGCTATCAAATTAGGTGTGGACAAGACAAGTGTAAAAAATTGAGAAAAACTGTAAAAATCTAGAGGGATTTTTACGTTCGTTTGCTTTGGAAAAGGCTTTAGATTCTCCGTTCTACAAAGAAAGTGTAAGTAACACATAACAGATGGGTTTATGCGGGATAGCCACACAAACTCCACAAATGAACCTCTACACAGAAAAAGACCATAGCCTTTCTCTTCAAAGATTGGTGCATGAATGTACTTTTTTTTTTTTTTTTTCTTTTGAGACAGTCTGGCTCTGTCGCTCAGGCTGGAGTGCAGTGGTGTGATCTCAACTCACTGCAACCTCGCCTCACGTGTTCAAGTGATTCCCGTGCCTCTGCCTTACTGATTACAAACATATGCCACCACGCCGGGCTAATTTTTGTATTTTTAGTAGAGATAGGGTTTCACCTTGTTGGCCAGGCTGGTTTAGAACTCCTGGCCTCAAGTGATCTGCCTGCCTCGGCCTCCCAAAGTGCTGGGATTATAGGCGTGAGCCACCGCACCGGGCCAAATGTACTTATATCCTTTGAGTTAAAAATTAGACTTAGAAGATGTTACCTTTTTATGATTTCCAGTTTTTAATCACCTTTTTCAAATAATTGATCAATTACTGGCTCTGATGAAATCAGACAGAAGGCTTCTGCTGAAGTTTATGGCTAAACTCAGTCTCTCAGGATACTGCTAGAAATTTTTTTTAAATGAAGACTGTCATAAGACAGTCTTAAGACTCCATACAATCAAAGTTCACCAACAACTATACAAATTGAGGCATGATAAAAGTAAAAGCTGCCAGGAGCTATACAAATGAATAAGCTCAACTAGTTACTGGTTGGGATCCAACAATTATCTTTTTATCTTCCTCTACAGAGTGTAATCGTTGGACTATCCTGCATTTTTTCACTTAACATTGTATCACATACGTTTATCTTTATCATGACTATCTAAGCATCACCTAGGCCATTTAATGGCTATATATTATGACATATGAATTAACTCATTCAAAATTACACTATAGGTGAGGTGCTACCCTATGGAACCAAGCAAAAATAAGAAAAAGACAGTTACTTAACCAATTCTGTTAGTGGTCAACCAGATTTTTCTGTTTTTTGGTTTGTTTTTTGCTATTGTAGATCCAATTAAAATGAAAAGTCTCTTCTTTATGGAATATGTATTGTTGTGGTGGTCACTAGAATGAAGAGAAATCCTGTCACCAGTAATAACTTATCTCTTCTCTTTCACAAAGTTTTTGAATTACAGTCTGTTCATTTAATTCTGTACCCTTCACCTTTCTATATTTAATAACTGAGGAAATATGTGTGGGTGAAAATATTTTTATATTTCATTTCCTATTACTTGCAAAGACAGCTATTTTACACAGAACAAGTGTACCCTCCAGAGGAGTAGTGAAAGCTATTATCGAAGCATGGATAACACTGATTGAGAAAGAAAAAAAATGGTCTATGTTTCATTTTACTTGGCTCTCAAAGGACCATTTGGGTCTTTGCTTTCCCTAAAATACAACCAAGCTATAGCTACATGGCACAAACTAAAAGGGTGATTGGGAAGTTGATTAATTTATCTGGAAAACAGTCCAACTCTCTATTTCAGTTTGCACGGTGACGACACAGCCTAAATCAAATTTTAAGTGAATGCAAACATAGCCACTCTCTAGGCCAAATTCTGGAAAAACACCTTAAGAATTCCAAGTGGAAGTCTTTGTAGATCCTAAGAGGCCTATATGTTGCTTTTAATTTAGAGAAGTGTCAAGACACATTTCTCTAAGGGCCAAGAACGTATGGAGGATTATGCAACTTAATGAGATGGTGCCATATTAAATCCTGAGCTGATAGCTCTTTAAGTTTTAAGCAATCCCCAGCAAATGTCCTCATCATTTTGGATCCTTTACCTTACTGGAGGCATCTCTGGTTTGGATAGAACATTAGAGGCCATCTAGCCCAAAGAATCATCATCCACATCTTAATTCCACTGACAAGGCAGGCACAGAAGAACATGGAAGCTTCCAGAGACAGCACTGTGTCAGGACATTTTGCTAATTATCTCACTCTCAGCATTTATCCCAAAGCTGTGTGGGTGCAGGTCTTTGAGAGGAGCCTGCCATTCCCTTGCACAGTGTCACTGGGACTTACCTGTGGAGGTCCGGGAGCGGCACTGCCCAGTCATGGGGCTGTACTCTTGATTTTCATCAGCACACACGCACAGGAAGGACCCTTCCACGTTTTCACAGAAGGCTTCACCACACACCCCACTGAGCAGTTCACATTCATTCACATCTGGAAAAGGGAGCACAGGCCAAGTGAGATGTGTGCCTCATTCATGACAGCTCTCTATTTTACCAGCTGTGCCAGGGCTAATAGTGTCTTGCTGAAAAGCAGGCGATCCCCAGAGAGCAGTCAAACCCCTTCTGCTCTTTCAGGGAAGGGGCTCTTTAAGGTAGAGCTGTCAGATTTGGTCTGGACGAAAGGACTATGAAAATTCAAGACAATTCTCAATTTAGTTTTTTTGTTTTGTTTTGTTTTTTGTTTTTTGAGATGGAGGCTTGTTCTGTCGCTCAGGCTGGAGTGCAGTGGAACGATCTCGGCTTACTACAAGCTGCGCCTCCTGGGTTCACGCCATTCTCCTGCCTCAGCCTCTCGAGTAGCTGGGACTACAGGCGCCCGCCACCACAACCAGCTAATTTATTTTGTATTTTAAGTAGAGACGGGGTTTCACCATGTTAGCCAGGATGGTCTCGATCTCCTAACCTCGTGATCCACCCGCCTTGGCCTCCAAAGGGGTTACAGGAGTCAGCCACTGTGCCTGGCCAATTCCCAATTTAGTTTTAAAGGACACCCTGGAATTGTACTGCAAACCTAGTATGTGCCCACTGACCATCTAGTTTTATCATTCCTGACTTTTCAACATAATGAAATCTTAAATGACCTAACACTCTACTCTGTTTTTTTTTTTTTTTTTTTTTTTTTTTTGAGATGGAGTCTCATTCTGTCGCCCAGACTGGAGTGCAGTGGCCCGATCCTGGCTCACTTGCAACCTCTGTCTCCTGGGTTCAAGTGATTCTTTTGCCTCAGCCTCCTGAGTAGCTGGGATTATAGGCATGAACCACCATGCCCAGCTAATTTTTGTATTTTTAGTAGAGACAGGATGTCACCATGTTGGCCAGGATGATCATGAACTCCCGACTTCAAGTGATCCGCCTGCCTCAGCCTCCCAAAGTGCTGGGATTACAGGTGTGAACCACTATGCCTGGCCTACTCTCAGTTCTTAATTCGAGCAAAGTTAGAATCACTGATACTTCAGTAACCACAGAATTAAGTTCATTTAAAAAGCTTTAAAAATATACTTAAATATCTGAAAATACAGGTATTTCTCTGGTAGCCAAAGCATCCATAATTATCAACAGAATTCAGATTACATATTCCTTTGAGAAATGAAGGAGAGATCCCTATAGACACTCATCAGGCTACATTAATCATTCATGTGAAACAAATTGGTCCAATAACTAATCACTGATCTCATGATGCCTTTTCAAATTCTGTTGATGTCCCACTGTGTAATTTCTATTTTGCTAAATGTTTTTCTTCTGTACTTAAATATACATAATTAAAATACAGTCAAGGAATCTCAGTGACAAGTACACTTTATTCAACATTTTGCAAGTACACAGCCCTAAAGAAAGGCTAATTTTATGTTTGATCTTGTCCAGTAGTGCTTTTTACCCTCTTTCCTCCTACAACATTTTGTTTATGAGTATCCAGTTCAGCAAAGCACCTGAATTAAAGTCTGAAATGCTCACATGTCTTATGCATTAAACATGTACAAACAATAGCTTTCATGAGCATACTTTGAGATGGTTTATACAAAGTTAAAAATTTGAGCAATTATCTAAATCATTCCAGAAAAAAAATCATCCTTTCACCTGGTATACCCAGTTAATTGGACAAAAAGCTTATATATCTTGACTTATTTGGATAATTACTTCAGTTTTCCATTTCATTTGTATATAAAGAGATATAAATCCAATGAACTGGTTTCACTTGTGAAAAATACCATAACATAAAGTAAAGCAGAGTTGAAATATTTAATCAACCTAGACAGTCATATTGAGACCAGAAAAACTTAAGAAATTGCCAGTTCACATTTATCAATTTTAGGTAAATGTTCAGTGGAACTTTGTACTTTCCAACATGTATTATTGATGTGGCTAATAAACTCTATCTCATCAGACTGCAATAATTCAATCAAGAAATATTTCCTAGCTTACTTCTGTGGGGCAGGCCTGTACGGCCTGTATGTGAGGAAGCAATGACGAGCCAGCAGTCCCAACTCCTGCCTTCATGGAGCTTATAGTTGAGTTAGGGAAATTAACAAATAATTGTACACGCTTCAGTGAGTGTGAGGAGTGAAAAGTTCAGACTCAGTGAAAGCATGGAACAGCAGATCTTAAATGCGGGGGTGGGTTAGAGAAATGATACTGGAGCAAATAGCTGAAGGATGAGTAGGTGATAATGGGGGAGGTGCTGACTCATCCCTGTAGCTCTACAGAACACACAGGGTAAAGTGCATATCATAGGTGCTCAGTAAATATTTTTGAAAGAATAAATACAAATACAAATAAAATGACATTTGTTGAGTTCACCAAAATGATAACAAATATTCCTTCTCTAAGGGTGGTGTTTCGTGTGCCAAGCTGAAATGTCAGCATGGGTTTAGTGTGCTCATCCAGCTGGTTAGAAATGAACATTAAGCAGCCGGGCGTGGTGGCTCACACCTGTAATCCCAGCACTTTGGGAGCCTGAGATGGGTGGATCACGAGGTCAGGAGATCAAGACCATCCTGGATAACATGGTGAAACCCTGTCTGTACTAAAAATACAAAAAATTAGCTGGGCGTGGTGGTGGGTGCCTGTAGTCCCAGTTGTTCAGGAGGCTGAGGCAGGAGAATGGTGTGAACCAGGGAGGCGGAGCTTGCAGTGAGCCAAGATTGCACCACTGCACCCCAGCCTGGGTGACAGAGCAAGACTCTGTCTCAAGGAAAAAAAAAAAAAAAAGAAGAAATGAACATTAAGCAAGGGCTCTGGAGCTATGTGGACTCGAGACAGCCGACATGGTTTCCAGATATGGTTCAACATCTGATATTTAAACAGTTGGCTGTTAAACAAAATTTACTGAGCACCTACAATAAGCCAAGCATCGTGCCCTGCCCAGGGAGAAGCGAGAAAGTTTTCAATCATTTAGAGGTTATAGCCTTGCAGAAGGGGGCTGCAGGTGGTGTACCCATTATTAAATTATTCCCCCAAAGGTTATAAGTGCTGTAATAGAATTTGCTGAAGGTGCTCTGGAAGCAGAGGTCACAGCTCAGCTTGACAGCGAGGGATGGGGCAGGTATGGTGTCTGGAAGATGACACTGAACCTCAGTCTTCCAGAATGAGTGAGAAAAATCCAGGGCTCAGGGAAGGAGAGGTCAGGAGGATATTCCCAGCAGAAGGAGTGAACGACAGTCAAATAATTGCACAGTGACATGGGCAACCACAACCAATCGGACGTTGCTGGAACCAACAGGTGAAGAAGGAAGTGGCGAAGCTAAGATGAAAAGTAGGGGCCACATCACAAGACCCATCTGGTGAAAATACTATGCAAATGTCAAACAACTATATTTTGGTGGAAAGGTGGCTAAAGCAGGAGTTTGAACTAAGATTAGGATAGTCTTAGCTATATTATTAAATAACTATGTCTTGTTGTGAATAATTCTTGAATAATTATCTATGTTTTTGACTAGCTACTGCTTATGCATGAAACCATAGATTTGTACATAATTTTTGGTTGGGAATTAACTGAATTTCATAATTCCACAAAAGCAGTTATTATTCAAGTGACATTATCATTAAACCTTGAAAATTTTATTTTCCAAGTTTAATATGGATGGCAAATGAATTAAATGTTTTAACTGCAAATTTTCAAACCAAATAGGTATTGACTCCTCAAGTTCCATCTGCCATGTAGTGAACATGGCTATTTTTCTCTAAGAATAAAGAAAAAGAAAAGTCTTGCTATCTATAAAGTCTCGAATTTGATAACTTTTCTTCTCCTTCCCATTTAATTGCTCTAATTGCAAATATGTTTCATAATGAGTTTGACGTGAAGAAATCACATCTTGTCAGACAATGAATACAAATTATTTTCTGTGTGAGCATTTGTTGGACCATATTCCAGGACATCTGATGATATTCAAGATTCCTTCCAGCCCTGTCAATCCCGGAACAGACTGAGGAAATACAGTTGCACAATTCAAAGCATCCTTTTACAGGTATCATTCCTGGACACTGAAGCTCCTGGCAATACTTTGCCTTAAATGCACTAAGGGGGTGCATTTAAAAGACAGACAATCTATACCACACACCAGACTCTACTTCCTGTGCCGAAGGGAGTCTAGAGTTCTGCATACTCAGTTAAGAGTTTAAACAGATGTTCTTGTTAAAATTCATTTAAATGTAAAGTCATACTTTTATATTTCTTACTGTCCCTAACAATTTCAGAAGCCATAGGATTTTTTTTTTTTTTTGAGACAGGGTCTTGCTCTGTTGCCCAAGCTGGTGTGCAGTGGCAAGATCAGGCTTACTGCAGCCTCAAACTCCTGGGCACATGAGATCCTCCCACCTCAGCCTCCCAAGTAGTTGGGACTACAGGCATCCACCATCAAGCTTGGCTAATGTTTTTGAAATTTTTATTCATAGAGAAAAGATCTCACCATGTTACCCAGGCTGGTCTCAAACTCCTGGCCTCAAGCAATTCTCCAACCTTGGCCTCCCAAGTGCTGGGGTTACAAGTGTGAGCCATGCACCCAGCCAACATAGGATATTTTTGCACACCCTCAAATTGTATGACAAAATCAAATTGTGATAAAGCTCTACCCAAATTACCTGCTTAAAAGCTCCTGTAGTTCACTGTGATTTCTTTTCCCTAGGGACATGTGAAACACGTTGGGAAAAAATCTAAAAACTCACCCACACACCCTTGCCCATCCTGTGGGGCTTGAAAGCCCTGATAACAGAGGCAGCGGAAGGAGCCAGCTGTATTGTCACAAAACCCGTGACTGTCACAAACAGTGTTGTTTACACATTCATCAATATCTGCAAAAAAGACATGGAACATCAGACACAAAACAAACACAGGCTGACAAACACCAGATATTAATGGATAAACAGAGGCACTCAACACATCCCGATTAGTGTGTGATGATGAGATGAACATGTTTACACAGAAAACAGCTTTTAAAACATTTTACATATAAATAAAATGTTTTGATGAAAATGATTTAACAGTCAAAATATTGGTTTCTATGAAAAAAACATTTACTACTTTTCCTTAGGAAATGTTTTTAGACTGAAATGACTGCTGCAAGTGCCATGCCCAGTATTACCTAAATGTTTTCAACTCTTGATTGCCAAGGAGCCTTATATTCCTACAGAGAAAATATGTGAAAATATTGTCACTTGTTTGAGTTGCAGTAAATGCTAATAGTATTTGCATCTGATAGTTACAGGTGGAAATGAGCAATGTTTTACTTAACCTTGTGGATAACATTGATCCAGACTACACAACATCCTCAGGAAGTCAAGAGAGTCTGATGAAGTCAGCAGGGTAGTCAGTCAGTCCCAGTGCCATAAGAAAACATTTTATGCCACCAATTTACAACCACTCAAGGTCCTAACCCTGCAGGGCTGCTCCAGCTGATTGACTGACTCGCCAATTCATTTTGTTCTCCACAAACCTGATGAGAGTGACCTTGTTGCCTTTTTTTCTCATTAATAAAAATGTTCTTATAAAAGTGATGCCTCAATTGTAAAGTTACAACAGACTTTTAGATAGAATTCTTCTTTATCCTTACAGTTACTAATTTCCTTCTCCCTTCTTTCCTTCCTGTTCTCCTTGGGCACTGCCACATCTCACACCACCCATTGCCTGGTACTCTGCTCTCTCTGCCCCGGACTTAACAGTCATGCCACATGCAAGTTTTTGGAGAAACAATTAAGAAAATGTTAATGACAGCATCGAAATATATGTGAAGAAGATTGCACTTTTATGTTCAAATAATGAAATCAGATAACAAATGTTAAAGAAAATGACAAGTCCAAGTTCACTTGACAGAGTTTAGTTTGGGGATAGTATAAAATTGGGCATTTTCTTATTTTATTTATTTATTTATTTATTTATTTATTTTTGAGACAGAGTCTCACTCTGTCGCCCAGGCTAGAGTGCAGTGTTGCAATCTCGGCTCACTGCAAGCTCCACCTCCCCTGGGTTCAGGCCATTCTCCTGCCTCAGCCTCCCGAGTAGCTGGGAGTACAGGCGCTAACCACCACGCCCGGCTCATTTTTTGTATTTTTAGTAGAGACGGGGTTTCACCATGTTAGCCAGGATGGTCTCGATCTCCTGACCTCGTGATCTGCCTGCCTTGGCCTCCCAAAGTGCTGGGATTACAGGTGTGAGCCACCGCGCCCGGCCACATTTTCTCTTTTAAACTTTATTTTCCCAACTCAAAACAAACAAAAAACCTAAGTCCCTTCTCATTTCTGGGTGGGGCTCCTTCTCCCACCCAGACCAGTCTCTGCCTCACAGTCCCACCTGCTCATCTTTCTCCGACATCTCCAGTTATTCCTCCCCTGGATCCCACCCTCACTGCCTTCAAAAATGTCACAATTGCTTGAAAATCGCTTTCACCTGATCATATCATCGCCCATTGTGCTTTTCTTCTCCTTGGGCATTGCCACATCTCACACCACCCATCGCCTGGTACTCTGTTCTCTCTGCCCCTGGGCTTAACAGTCATGCCAAAATGTAAGTTTTTGGAGAAACAATTAAGAAAATGTAATGACAGCATCCAAATATATGTGGAGAAGATTGTACTTCTATGTCCAAATAATGAAAGCAGGTAACAAATGCTAAAGACAATGACAAGTTCAATTTCACTTGACAGAATTTAGTTTGGGGGGAATTAAACTTTTTGTATCACTGCAAAATATCTCAAAGGATTGTCTATACTCATTGTCTTTATTTCCTATTACAGTCTATCTGTAAATGGAAATAATAGTATCAATATGAATAATATTAATAATATTGGCAAGTTTCTACAATTACTGGGAACATTAAACAAAATAACACATACAAAGTGCTTTGAAGACTGCCTGGCATGTAACGTAGGGAGGCATTCAACACAGTACACGTCAACTTTATTATTATTATTACTACTATTGTTCTTCTTTCTCCTCCCCCTCCTCTTCCTCAATGGCCTACAATCTTACTTCCTAACTCTTTATCCCACTGAGACTCCTATGAGAAAAAGCACCAATGACCAGCTCATCATTAAATCTCATGATCATCTTCTGGTCAGTCACCCCAGACCTCCAAGTCAGGGTGAATGCCCACTCCTTGAACACTCTCCTCCCACGTTCAGTGACAGAATGTTCTTCTTGTTCTACCTTGAGCTTGTCCTTGTCCTTTGGCATCCTGAAGGTGGGTGTCTGCCAAGGCTCTGGCCCTCCCTGAAATCTGCTATGTGCTTGGCACTCCCCTCCTTCACCCTTCCCACACTCTCCCAGTTTCAATGACCATGCTCTTTGGGATAAATCCTCCATCCTCCTCTCCATCCAAGATTCTTCTCTGGAGCACATTTCTTTCTTTCTTTTTTTTTGAGACGGAGTCTCGCTCTGTCACCCAGGCTGGAGTGCAGTGGCACGATCTTGGCTCACTGCAAACTCCACCTATCGGGGTCACACCATTCTCCTGCCTCAGCCTCGCAAGTAGCTGGGACTACAGGTGCTCGCCATCACGCCTGGCTAATTTTTTTGTATTTTTAGTAGAAATGGGGTGCAAGCACATTTCTTAATCATTTCCATTGGATCTTCTGCCATGAACTTAAACTTATCAAGCCTAGCTGTATTCACTGTCTTCCTACTAAACTCCATTTCCTGACTTTGGTGACTTGAATTGAAAAATCAGTGAAGCCTGGTGCGGTGGTTCACGCCTGTAATCCCAGCACTTTGGGAGGCCAAGGTGGGCAGATCACCTGAGGTCGGGAGTTCGAGACCAGCCTGAACAACTTGGAGAAACCCCACATCTACTAAAAATATAAAATAGCAGGGCATGGTGGAACATGACTGTAATCCCAGCTACTTGGGAGGCTGAGGCAGGAGAATTGCTTGAACCTGGGAGGCAGAGGTCGCAGTGAGCCGAGATCACGCCACTGCACTCTAGACTGGGCCGCAAGAGCGAAACTCGGTCTCAAAAAAAAAAAAAAAAAAAAAAAAGACAAATCAATGAAATTATTTCCAATCTAAAAAATGAATCTCCGTTACAACATTAAACACAAAAAAGACACTCAATAAATCTGTTCTGATTGATTTTCAATGTCAGCATGAGGCTGAGATCACAATTTATTTGCTGATCACAACTGTGAGGAGGAACTGCATCAGGTCACGAAATCATTTAACACAGGCCACTGATAATTGTAGACTTTCTGAGATAGGCATACGTCAAAGAGATTATTTATATTATTCATTGAACCACAGGATTTAAGGGCTGGAAAGAAACTCGGAAATGCTAAAATTACCACTTACATACTGATGATTTCCCAGTCTCTCTCATAAATTTACCTCTGTCCTTTAGAACCACTTATCTAATACCTATTGGATATATTCATAACAAATGAATTTATTATCACTCCCCTCCTCATCTCAACTCCATTTCTCCTATTTCCTTCATCAGCAAATCCAATCTGTCACCTAAGCCAGAACTCTTCATATCACCCTTCGCTTTCTCCTATTCTCTGTCCTTCCCTGTCATGCCGTCTTTACTACCATTCCTGATACTCACACTCTTGGCGGGTCATCTCCCCATCTCCAGTCTTGCCTCCCTCCCTCTATCCATTCTCCACCTAAGACTGCCAATGTGCTCTCTGCAAAATGCAAACTCACCAGTACCATTCCCTTCCTCAGGGTGTTCAGAATCTCTTCTTGGCTAAAGGGTAACCATACTCCTTAGCAGGGCATGGACCACCCTTCCTCATCTGCCTCCTGCCTGTATGTCTGGCCACAGTTTCCAGACAACCTCTTTCCCAGTTTGCACTCTGGCTCAATTAGCATACTAGAGGTCTCTGAAAGCCTCTAATTTTAATTAGTGACTTCATTAGTGAGCTGTTTCCCTTAATAGGTGAGTATATTTTCCTCAGAAAAAGGAAGAAGGAAGTCCACAAAATAAGAGAAGGAAATGTTAAGAAACGAAGACTAAGAAGCACTTTCCTAAAAATGCAAAACCAAAAACTGAAGAATATATCTGAAAAATATATTTTAATTTTTTAAATAAATTTGATTTTTCATGGACTTGGTGATACTCCTTCCGTCTCTGGAATCTCCATGCCACCCCTTTCTCCTGGACTTACTCAGAAATGCCTTTTGGCCTTTCAGGAGTCAGCCCAAGGGACACCTCCTCTGCAGCACCTTCTTTACTCCACGAGCAGATCTCAGGGCCTCTCCTCTCTGCTCCCACAGCATTCTGTGCCACTGCTGTGCTTATTGAGGGCTATTTCTCAGGGTGGGGAACCTTTAACTTGACCTCACCAGCAACTTACTTCCCTACTAAAACGAGTGGAAGGATAGCAAAGGAGGAGAAAGAGAAGGTATGTACCAGAAACCTGGTGGCTTTTCAGTCCAGATTCTTGAAGGAAAATCTCTTGCTTTCCTTTTTGTTAATTCTATGCAATTATAGCAGATGATGATTTCTTGTTACCATGCACAGGAACCAAATAATTGACCTGAAGGTGAACAAGCCCCAAGCCGGTTATGAATTACTGGGCGTCTTGCAGTCTCAGACTTACTGTAACAGTGATTAACCGAGAAAGTTTAGATGAGCAATATTTTGGATTTGAATGAATAGGAAAAAATAACGTGGAATGCCTGCTGGAAACTAGCTCTTCAGCAACTAATATTTTATAAAAATGATATAATGTAACTCTCAGCAGTTTCATGTTTTCAACAATGAGGTGAGGTAATAGCTTAATAAGAGGACAACATTTGTTTCACTTTAATGACCGCTACAAGAAAAAACATTATTTCATTCGAATTTTCTTTGATGA